TCTCTCTCTCTCTCTCTCTCTCTCTCTCTCTCTCTCTCTCTCTCTCTCTCTCTCTCTCTCTCTCTCTCTCTCGACGGCGATTAGCTCGCTGTTGCATGTGGACTTGGGCCTTTTGCATGTTTGCGAGGGCTTTTGGCAGCAAGTCCTGGTACTTCCGAACGAAGGCGGGAGAGCAGGGGGCGTCAATGTCGGGTGCCTGAGGGAATAGAAGGTCTGCGAAGATACAAGTTTTCAGGCCACCGTGGTGCAACTCAGCCTTTGATTTCATTGATGAAAAAAGAAAGGTGCAACACTGCAAAGCAATGAGTTTTTTTTTCAATTTAAAAAAAATCAAATTCATGTTTGACTGAAGGGAGTCACTCCAATCGCCGGACGCAATGAAGTGTTGTAGGCGGATTTGATGTCGGGGAGGCGGTCAATTCAGTCTTTCTGGTCTGGATGGATGAGCATACGAAGCATCATTTGAGCAGTTTGATGTGCCCGGTCCGTTTGCCCGTCCATTCTGTGGTTGCCGAGACGAACTCAGTTTCATTGCCGTGCCAGACTCCTTCATGAGAGAGGTCCAAAAAGCCGACAGGAATCAAGTGTCACGGTCGCTAACGATGTCTTCCGGAGCGCCGTGGCTGCAAATCCAGCCCCTGTGCAAGAGTCTCGCAAGCTTGGGAGCCGTTGCATGATACTTGCAAGGAAGAAACCGCACGTACTTACTCAATCGGTCAACGACCGCGAGGATACCGTTGTGCCTGAGGCGATCTCGTGGGAATGGCCTGAGGACGTCCATGGCAATAGACAGTCCGGGTTCCCGAGGAATTGGCAATGGGCGCAACTCGCCGTAGGGGTTGCCGTTGCAGGGCTTGTTGCGTCGACAAACCTCGCAAGACTCGCAATACCGTGTGACGTCGATGATGAAGTCGGACCATCGTAATCGTTGGCGAAGTTGAGTGACCTTCCGGTTGACTCTGAAGTGTCCGGCGAGCCGCAAATCGTGGTACTCACCAAGGAGTTGAGTCCGTAATCGACGGTCTCGTGGGACGCATAGCAAGTCCTTGCCTCACAAATGGAGAAGAAAGTACCCGTCGGCGATGCCTGTCTAACCTTAGGGTTGTGAGACCATCTGTCAAAGGGCATCACCAAAGCTGGGTAATGCTCCCAGTAGTGCGTCTGGGTTTTTGTGAGGTACCGGGCCGCATGCTTTCATTTGATAATGAATTGCTATGCTATTCTTGTTTGCGGAAAACAAAAACAAAAAAAGAAAAAAAAAAAAAAGAAAAAAAAAAAAAAATACAGCATAGGATAAGTACAGTTCCTACAGTTAGTCGATCTATTGGTCGGGAGCATCACCTGCTGGAAAGCGGGCCCAGAGCCTTCCAAGCAGACCCACTTGCTCTTATCACCTTGTTAAGTGAGAACCTGCGCAGAAGTTCCCCCCCCCTAAAAAGAATACAGTAAGTTGATGAACAGGCAAAACTGTCAGGGGGGAATTCCCAAAAACCAACTTAAAAAGAAAGGAAAAAAAGATGGCTGAGCTGGCAAAAGGGGGCAAGAACGGAATTCCAAAAGAAGTAAAAAAATCAAAAGAAAGGCTGAGCATTGCACACTTTGTTGAAAAAAATAAAAGAAGAAACAAAAACAGAAAAAGGTGTAGGATTCTCTTTGAATTCCTGGCTAGTCTGTACTTGGATAGCACACAACATCCGTCTCCTGCTTTTGACTTTGTTCTTAGTTCTGTTCTTTTGTAGTCTTGTATATGTGGATAGTATAGGGTATTGTTTTTGCTTTTAGCTGTAAATTTCACAATTTTTTCTTGTTATTTTCTTTTTTCATTTGATTGACAGACGTTCTCTACAGGGGAGGGGATCTACCCAAAGAAGTGGGTTTGGAGGCCTTGCAACCCCTGAGTCTGTAACTTTAAACATTGTATTTTGCCGTGGGCACTAGCCCTAATAAAGCTTTTTTTTTCTTTTTCAAAAGAAAAAAAAGAAGTAGGGCGATGAACAGGCA